ACCAGGCGGCCGATGTGTGCAGGAGGCTGCTCGCCCGCCAGGAAAGCACGCAGGCACGTGCCTGGGGGGGGTGGGGGGGGGCGGCAGGAACGCCTCGGGGGTGGCTGCAGGCCGCACGGGCCGGAGAGCGGGCACCTGCCTGGGGGGCCACGGGCGGGGCGCAGATGGCAGGGTTTGACGCTTTGACGCCGCGCCGGGCTTCGCGGCTGCCGTCTTGTGCCTTCGAGCGTGCCGTGGGATGCCGGACGGCATCAGCGCAGCGAGTTGTCGATTCTGCAGGTTTTTAAGTAGCTTCTGCAGGGCGCTGTAAGTTTATATGTATATGAATATGTGTATATAGATATGTGTATATATATATATGTAACGATCGATCGGTCGATATATCTATATATATATATATATGTGTGTGTGCACACCTAAATGTCTACATTTTCATATATCGGTATGTGTATATGTGTACGTATGCGTATGTACCAGTGTATGTAATTATGTTTATATTACGATCGAATTGTATATGTATCCACGACTATAATGTGTATATATACCTATGGAAATGTAGCCATCGATCTAGATATACGTAATTATATATATACACATATATATGGTTATATATATATATTAATATGTATACATACATACGTACATATACATATATAATATGCATGCATGCTTACATTCATACATACACAGATGCATGCATGCATGCATGCATACAAACATACATACATATATTCACAAGCCTCAGCACCGGCATATTTCAAGGCATCGGCGATGTGATCAGTTTGTATGAAGGTTGGCGTCCTTCCCTGCTCCTCGAGTCCGCGCGGCTGCGCCGCACAGCACCTCGGCATGGCCCGCCGTCCTGCTCCTCTCTCCCTCCCTCCCCCGCCCCCCCCTCTTCCCCAGCCTCCCCGCTCGTGACCTCGCGTGGTGGGGAGTGCAACTCTTGCCTCCGCATGGAGGCACGCAGGTAGATCGGCCTGCGGAGCGCTGCCCGGCGTGGCCTCGGCGAGGGTAGCCCTGCCTCACGCGTGCCCTAGGCAGGAGCGGACGCGGGTGCTCCCCCTGCCTCGGCCTCGTGCGGCGGCGGCAACAAGAGGCCCGGCGCCGCAGGGGACCGGCACGGCCGGCCCAGTGCTGCGCATGGAAGTGTCCTGCGCCGGCCTGCCTCGGTAGCGACAGGTTCGGGAACCGAGCAGATCGACTACACGTAAGAGTCACCTTTCGCCGGAGTGACCTCTGGTGCGGGCTCATCGGGCTCCCCCCGATCGCCGAGCGCGATGCGATACAAGCGGCCCGCGCCCTTGGGTTTGGCTCCCTCGCGCCCCCAAAAGCTGCGCACGAAAGGTCACTCTTACCCAGGGTCACTCTTGCGCCCAGCCGAGCAGACGAGGAGGCTCCCTGCCGACGCGCCTCGCTTCCTGCCACCGCTGCGTGCGCGGCGCGCCGCATCCCCAGGAGTATCCGACGCAAGCATCAGTCCAAGAGGCATCCCCCAACGAGCACCGCGTCTCCGCTCCAGCAGGGCGTGGGGATCCCCCAGAGTTCTTTCGGGGCGTGGGCCCCCTCCCCCCTCCTCCTCCTCCTCCCCCTCCTCCTCCTCCTCCTCCTCCTCCTCCTCCTCCTCCTCCTCCTCCTCCTCCTCCTCCTCCTCCTCCTCCTCCTCCTCCTCCCCTCCTTCTCCAGCTGGGCCCTCTGAGTCCTCCTCCCCTCCTTCTGTCGGCCAATCCGTCTCGAAGTCTGCGTCTTCGCAGCGCTTGCCTCTTTCGCAGGCGTGCCACGGCTCTTTCGGGGCGGGGGGTGACGAGGAGACGGAGGGTGACGGCGTGTGGACCGCCGTGGGGCCGAGAGAGAGAAAAGGAGGGCGCCTCTCAAGACGGATCTCTATGCTCAGGGCGTGGGCGAGACGTGAACCCCACATGGCCAGCGGAGCGGGAACCCAAGACAATGGGCTGAACACGGCGAGAGGGGGGGGGGGGGGGGGACAACGAGGCGACGACGGGGCGATGCAAGACACGTGTGGATGAGGAGGGTAAAGAGGAGGCGAACGGATGACGAGACGGAGGAGGAGGAGGAGACGGAGGCGAATGAGGATGAAAAGGAGGAGGAGGAGGAGACGAATGAGGATGACGATGATAAGTAGGAGGAGGAGGAGGAGGAGGAGGAGGAGGAGGAGGAGACGGGGGCCTGCCTGTTCGTCAAGCTTCAGGTTTGCTTCCATTTGATGTCCTCTTGAGCTCGAAGGGAGGAAATGAGGACAACATGAATCCAGGACCTATCGTGCTGCTCGTGTGTTGGCCGAGCTGGATAGGGACAAGTCGCCTATGCATATGATTGCTCATAGTGTTACGTGCTTATTTTGCCAGCGCTACTCAGTGTCACATAGGTGTAGGGTTGAGTCAGACGGCCTTGATATTCCTGGTGAGCTCGCTGGATTGTCCCTGCCTGTGGACCCTTACCTGTAAGTGGGCAGGTGTGTGCTCCCTGGGGTCGGCAGGCGACCTGGCGACTGGGCCCCCTGAGCTCTCTCTCTCTCTCTCTCTCTTTCTCGCTCTCTTTTTCTCTCTCTCTCTCTCTCTCTCTCTCTTTCTTTCTCTCTCTCCCTCTCTCTCTTTCTCTTTATATATATATATATATCTCATTATCGCTCTGATGTGTTCTTTCCTTGGACTAGGACGCGACGCCTTCGGCCACAGGCGAACGAACGAAGGGGGGCAGCAGGAGGGGGGTGCTGAGGAGAGGCGGGAGGAGGCGGAGGAAGACGAGGATGACGAGTCTGAACCCAAGATGCGCCATCGATGTTGCAATAAACTATCCCTCGGAGATCCCTCTTCATAGGTCCCTTCACTGCAGGAGATGCCCCATTGGAACACAACTGTCTGAGAATCCCTAATCATGCCAGACCGCAATTCCTAGGGCTTCAGCTCCGCGAATCATCGTGATTGGTGCGTCCTGACAAACTTGAACCGTGCCAGAGCACCATTCGCGGGACGTCAACATCGCGAACCAACATGATCGCTGCACCCTGGCAATCCTAAATCGTGCCAGAGCACCACTCCTGGGATGTCAACCATACGCAGTTTTGAAACTGTTGCACACTTTATGACGAATGCGCGCGGCGCTACGGCCAGAGCCACATGTTGGAAAGGAATCGCCCTGCATACTCGGAGCCGCTGCAAGTTTTTAAGACGAGTGGGGGCGACTCCAAGGCGAGAGCCACACTTCCTTGAGAACCACCCGCCCTCCATCCTTGAAACTGGTGCGAATGTCAAGCTGCAGGGCCAGGAATGGTGAGGATGTCTGAGGCGAAACGCCCGGCCCGCCCGGCCGACACATCCGGGGGGTGCGGCAGAGCGGAGTTCGTCAGAAGGAAAAGAAGAGGAGGAGGAGGAGGAGGAGGAGGAGGAGGAGGAGGAGGAGGAGGAGGAGGGGGGAGAGGGGGAGGGCCGCCAGGAGATGGTCGGGCCGGGGGGGGGCGGCGGCTTCGACCCCAAAGCCCGCGCTCCACTGCAAGGCGGAGGGGTGCTCCCGGCGCCGACCTCGAAGGCCCGTCTCGGCCATCGCCCGCCCCTGCTCCCTCCTGTGCCCTCCCTGCTGGAGGAGGGGCCGCTGGAAGAGGGGCCGCTGGAAGAGGCGGCGCCCAGCGATGCTCGGCTCCCCTTGGCTTGGCAGCCCCAGCCCTCGTGAGGGAGAGGGGGGCCCCGAGGGTCGGCTCCTCGTCTCCCGAGCCGTTTCTGGCCGTCACGGGCTTTGGAAAGGGCCCCGGGATGCCGACCCCACGAGTTCTGAGGGGGGCAGGGGTAGGGCTCGCATGTGAGCCCCCAGACACCACCTCGGGACCCACGGCTCGTGATTCCTGCCGTCTGGAAGCTTGCTCGAGGCCCGGTGGAAGTCCTTGCACCTCCGGTCGGCGGGCCGGCACTTCTCTCGGGCCGGTGCGCGCTCGCTCGGAGCAGTCTTTTCTGCCGCGTGGGCGCCCACACCCTCGCGCTGCGGGGAGGAGTGCTCTTCTGCTGGCCAGTGCGGCTCGCCGGTGTGACCCACGCGCGTCGCACAGCGAAGCCGTCCTGCGGGCAGGCGCCACGGCTTTCGAGCCCACAGGGCTGCGCATCTCCAGCGTGGGTGTCGCCGCTGCCGCTCGTAATTCGCATCGGCTCTGTCGCGTGCTTGCGTTCCAAGGCTTTCTCCACGAGTAGGGCGCTGCCGATGCCACCAGCAATGCGTCACCTCGTCTGTACTCGCCTCAATCCCCTCGCTCATGCATTACCTGGCCAGAGCACGTTTTTGCCTTCTCACCAGTGGGAGTCCAGTACTCGCATACCTAGGCCGAAGATATCGCAAAGGTGGGAAACACATCACCATACATTGTGCTTGCTCCATCCGCGGCGTACTTCTGGGGGTCTCGCAGTGCTTGACGACGTCCAGATCAGTTGCAGAAGCACCCCTTCCTCGCTTCACATTTCTCACCGGTCGCCCGCATGCTGCGTAGGCTCAAGTCCTGCAAAGGTTCAGGCTGCGGCCACCCTGGCCTCTGGCGACTACTGTCCAAGCCGAGGACCTCCTTGGATAAAGAGAACAAGGGCAGCAGAGGATGGGGCCGGAATGGAAAGAACGGAGCACGGCAGGACAGGATCATCCAGGGCGGGGCGGGACAGGACAGCAGGACAGAGCAGGACAGCACAGGGCGTGAGGGGATGTCCGATGTCCGAAATCATAGCAGACGACAGGGCAGCAGGGACAAGCAGGCCAGGAATGGATGGGACCGCAGGGGAGAGGATAGAGAGGGAACCAGGGGCAAAAGAGGAACCTCATGATCAGATCAGCCATACAGGGGCCTGTAGGATGCATCAGACACAGAGCGGGTGCGGAGTTCGGTTATGGCTTGTATTATGTGTGTCCTCACCGTACTTTGCGCCACAAGGAGTCCATCTTTGTTGACGACGTACAACCATGTACACGGACCCTAACAGGATCTCGATCAAGTTCTTGATCTTCTTATTATGTGTGGCGGCTTGGCGCAAGTTGTCGAAGCGAGCCGCCGTGCAGGAGTCGTTGCTGCGCCTTCTTTTTGGAGACAAGGCTATCTTCCTTAATCACAGCAGGCGGCAATATCACCTGACTCATGCAATCACAGCTTGTAGATTCGTAGCTCCACCAGCCTTTGAGCCGTTGCCCCAAAGCCGCACGCTGTCTGGGGACGAGGAAGGCGCAAATGGGGAGAGCGCTGGGGGAAGGGAGGCGCGGAGGGGGAACAGGGGGGGAGGGAGGAGAGGCTGCCGAGGAGGGAGGGTCGGGCTCGAGCGCGGGGAGGGAGGGCGAGAGACGCGGGAGGGGTGAAGGGAGGGGGGAGTGGCTGAGCGGGGTGACGCGCGAGGGGGGCATTGGTCGGACCCGTGGTGTGCCCTCCTCATCATCATCATCATCATCCTCCTCCTCGTCCTCCTCCTCCTCCTCCTCCTCCTCCGCCTCCTCCTCCGCCTCCGCCTCCGCCTACGCTCCGCCTCCGCCTCCGCCTCCGCCTCCGCTCCGCCTCCTCCTCCTCCTCCTCCTCCTCCTCCTCCTCCTCCTCCTCCTCCTCCTCCTCCTCCTCCTCCTCCTCCTCCTCCTCCTCCTGCGAGGCACCGCGGGCCGCAACCCCCGGCGGGGCGGCCCCCCCCCTCCGAGGGCTGCGGAGCCGCGCCCGGGAGCTCTCGTGCCCGCCCCGGCTCCGGCCCCGCCGCTGGGCGCCTTCCTGGATACACGGGCGCCTCCGGCGCAGGGGAAAGCCAGCGGCGGGGCCCAGAGGAGGGAAGGGTGCCCATGCCTCTGCCCTTCGCCCGTTTTTCCCCCTCTTAGGGGCCTCCTGGGAGGTCCTCGCTGCCACAGCTGCATTCGCCTCGACGTTCCGGTCGGGGCGCACCCCGGGAGAGGTCCGGGGAGTGGCGGTATCGGTACCTTCTGGTTTCCCCCCGTGAGCCGAGATGCTGCCCCCCCTGTGCTATGGTCTCCCACACACTTCACCCCCTTGCAGGCGGTGGTCGGCGCGCTTAGAAGGACTGAGGATGGAGGAGTAGGAGGGGGAGGAGGAGGGGGAAAAGAAGGAGGAGGAGGAGACGAAGGAGGAGGAGGAGGAGGAGGAGGAGGAGGAGGAGGAGGACGATGACGACGACGATGACGATGACGATGACGATGACGATGACGATGACGATGACGATGACGATGACGATGACGATGACGATGACGATGAGGATGAGGACGATGACGATGACGATGACGAGGAGGAGGAGGAGGAGGAGGAGGAGGAGGAGGAGGATGAGGATGAGGATGAGGATGAGGATGGCGAAGATGATGACGATGACGATGACAATGACGATGACGATGACGATGACGATGACGATGATGACGATGACGACGATGATAATGATGATGATGATGATGATGATGATCATCATCATCATCATGATGATGATGAGGAGGAGGAGGATGATGACGATGACGATAACGATAACGATGACGATGACGATGACGATGATGATGATGATGAGGAGGAGGAGGAGGAGGAAGAGGAGGGAGAAGAAGGAGGACCAGTGTAAACCCAAGACGATGGAAGGATGTTGCAATAAAACCTGCCTCAAAGTTCCTTCTTCACAGGTCCCTACAAGAATGTTGTTTTCAATGCGGGAAGTGCTCCATTGGAAGGCAGCCGTTTGAGAGTCTTCAGTTGTAAAGAAAAGAACATTCCTTGAACGTCAACACCGCGAGGCCACGTGATTGTTGCGCCCTGAATCCGAATTTGAACCAGAACACCAATCTTGGGACTTCACCCCTACGAACCCTAGAAGCTGCTGCGCATGTTTAAGAGGAATGTGCGCGGCGCTACGGCGAGAGCCACATTTTGAACATGAACGGCCCTCCATCCTTGAAGCTGTTGCAAATGTTTAAGACGAATGTTCGCCGCGCTAAGGCGAGAGCCACATGTTGAAAAGGAACCGCCTGAAAGCTGTTGCAAGTTTTAAGACGAATGTGCGCCGCGCTAAAGCAGCATCCACATTTTTTAAACCACCCGCCCTCCATCCTTGAGACTGTTGCGAAATTCAAACTGCAGGGTCAGAAATGGTGAGGATGTCGTCGGCGAAACGGAAGCGGTGGGCTTGCTTTGCCGACACGAGGAGTTCTTCATAAGGAAGGGAGGAGTTCTTCATGAGGAGGAGTTCTTCCTAAGGAAGCGGAGTGGAGGAGGAGGAGTTCTTCATAAGTGGTGGTGGTAAGTTTCGTCTGCGCCAGATTCAGAGCCCCAGACGTCCTCCCCGAGGCCTCTGGAGGCAGGGGAAGAGGGTAAGACGCGCTGGCGTTCCGAGGCCCGCCGCCTCGACCTCCGAGGGTCGAGGGCAAGACGCGGCGGGAGGAGGAGGAGGAGGCCTCTGCTCAGGAGGGGAAAAAACACACAGACACAATTCATCGGCGATCCCTAGGAAAATATGGGAAAATATGGGAAGTGGGGGGGGAGACAAAAACCCAGAAAATATGGGAAAATATGGGGAATCCTTCTATTTGTGTGTATTTATTTGTGTGTCCCAGGGCCCCTTCATTTGCTGCCGCTCTGAGTGGCTGAAGCCGCAGCGCTGCCAGGCCCCGCTGCATCGACATCTGAAGAAGTTCGCGGTCGTGCTCCAGTGGCGCCCTCGTTGTCGGCCTGCGTAACGGGGGGAGCGCCCGCCTCGGGCGAGGGGCGGGAGGAGGGGGGGAGCTTCCGGCAGCGAAGACGCGAGGAGGAGGGCGAGGATGCCGGGGAGAAGGTGGGCAAGGGGAATTACGAGGAGGTGGAGGTAGAGACAGAGACGTAGATTGAGACAGAGCAGAAGAGGACGCATGATAACAGTCAACAGGGGAGGGGGAGAGGTGGATAAGGACGAGCGGGAGGAGGTGGAGAAGGACGAGCGAGGGAGATGGAGACAGAGGTGGGGACGCAAATCGAGATAGAGGTGGATGTGGACATGGAAGAAAGAATGCAGACGGACATCGACGAGGATGAAGACGAAGACGCAGGCCGTGCTCTGGGAGATGAAGCGTGAAGCCTGATTCTATCAACGAGGGCCCCGTGGGGCACCAGTACACCCGAACCTGCGGGCAGCTTGTCGGCGACACGTCGAGCCACCTTGTCTCAGGAGACAGCCTCGATGACATCGTGTTCCTGCTGCTCATATCCCCCCTCCCTCGTAAGTCCAAAGCTGCGGCGACCCACAGGGACCAGGTCACGGACACGGCAATGCGCAGCCTTGGCCGCCGCTTTGCACGCAATTTATTGCGAGGTTCGGGTGAGTTGTTGCGCCCTCAGCTACAGTGGAGGCCCATGCCAAGAAACACCCTACTTGCATCCAGGGTGCCCTGAGTTTCTTCGGTTCCGATGGTTTTGCCAAAGAAAACGTGACGCCCCCACACCAAAAACCAATGGACGTCCTGGGGTCTCAGGGTTTGGTTTCTTGTGGAAGGTTTCTTGTGGTCGGGCCCCCACTGTACGGTCGATCTCCCCCCCACTCTATCTTTCATGCTGGCCCTCCTCCGCTTTCCCCATCTTGACCCGCCCGCCTTGTCGCCTGCAGACCGCCCTGCAGGAGTGCGCCGCTGGCCTCTCTGCTTGTCTCAACTCGGCGAGGGGGGTCAGAGCAGAGGCCCCCCAGGCGCTGGCGCCGCCACGACAGGGGCCATCCGTAGTTCCAGGCCCGAGCAAGCTCAGCCAGCGAGTGCACACCCAGGGTCAGCAGAATCCCTCGGCGAGCCCCCTTCTGCTCCGTGTCGCGTATACTTTCCACCGAGGTACAGCAGGAAAACACATAGGGCGTTCAAAAGAGGGCCTCGCCTTCGAGGATAAAAGGAGGTGTCATCTCTTCCGCCGTGGAATGCGGTCCGACCGCCCTGGTTGCATCCGCGTAGTGTCCCGTCTTGGCTACGTGTACACCGTCCAGTTGATCCAGCTGACTACAGGTGCCGTTCAGAGACTGGACCTGCAGACAGCTGCCCCGGCCCAGGGCCCAGCAGCGCCACAACTCCTGCGGAGGGGTACTACGGGCTCCTCGCCACCCCCACAGCCTGGAGACTGCCAACAGCGTACGGGTCAATACTCGTGCCGGCACACGCTCTCAGAGCAGCGTGGCCGGCAGAGGTGCTCGTCGCCACGGGCAGGGTTCTCGGCACCGTTGGGACAGCAGAGATTGGTGCCCCGGGGCGCTCCCCGGTTCTCTCAGCAGTATAGACACTCGTGGGAAGCAACGGGTCCCCTCGGCCACCTGGCCCAAGGGTGTTCCCACTCCCCGACATGCACTGTTCATACGGCCATCAGCCGTTCCTTCGCTCCCTCTCTCTCTCTCTTTCTCTCTCTCTCTCTCTCTCTCTCCCTCTCTCTCTCTCTCTCTCTCTCTCTCTCCCTCTCCCTCTCTTTCTACTAAGAAGGACGGGACGGCCATCAGCCGTATGTACCTGCAGTCTCGGACGTGCATTGCTCATGCGGCCATCAGTCGTCCCTTGGCACTCTCTGTTTCTCTCTCTCTCTCTTTCTCTCTTTCTCTCTTATTCTCTCTCTCTCTCTCTCTCTCTGTCTCTCTCTCTCTCTCTCTACTGGGAAAGGACGAACCGGCCATCAGCCGTAGGTCCCTGGCGTTTCCAAGCGGTCCGACCGCCCTGGCTCTGAACACGCAGTGCCCCGTCCCGGCTACGCTTGCACCTTCCTGTTGGACCTTCCTGTTGGTCCTGCTAACTACAGGTGCCGTTCGGTGAGTGGACACGCCAACAGCAGCCCTGGCATAGGACTTAGCAACGCCACAGCTCCACGGAGGGGCACTACGCCTTCCTCGTCGCCAAGGCTCTGCGCCCCCGCTTGGGGGCCGTTGACAGCAGCGGTAACTTGGACGCTGACGGCCATCAGCAGTACCCTGGCCCCTCGCCCCTCCCCTTCCCTTCGCCCTCTCGTGCGGCGGTCTTCCGCCGCGTCTGGCCTTACGTTGGCGTGATGCGCGCAGCCTTGGCTAGTTGCTCACAGTTCCCCACCCTGGCAGAAGGCTACACTGTCAGCCCGCGCCGCAGCACATTGGGCGCGAGCAGGATCCGCCCGCGCCGCAGCTGCAGTGGGATGTGTACCTCGAGACGTGTGGAGCAGCGACATGCGGCCCTGGCCATCACGCGGACGCGGTACAGCGCAGCAGACGGGTTGCGACTGCGGCGGCATCCCCGCCCACCACCCAGTCGCATGCTCCTCGCTCCCGAGGGCACAAGGAGATGCTGCTGGCTCGCTCAGTCGAAGCTGCTAGAGGCCCTCCCCTCCTTTCACGCTGGATAGACCTGGAGGGCGCTTCTTTCCCCTCGCCGGTAAGGTGATGTCAGTTCCCACCTGCCCTGGCCTCCCCATCCCGCGCAAATCGCGGTTCCCTCTGAGCGGCGTCCCCGACACACGCCCCCTGGCCAGTTCCTACGTTTGCGTCCTCATTCTCTGGGCATCTGGTCTACAGTACTTGCATCAGCTGGCCGTGTCTGGTGCTGGCCCTTTGGGGTGATGTCCGCCGGCTTACTCAGGAGTGGTTCAGCCTTCTTGCAGTGGTCAGCGCACCCCCCCATTGGCGCATCGTTGCCGACCTCTCGTGGTACGTACCCAGCCACAGCTTTGGCCCTGACCCCTGGCGCCCAGTGGCGACAAGGTCCCGCAGCGTACATGGTGATGTCCTCCCGCGGTACCCACTTCGGGTCCGAGTGTGCTTGCACTCCTCTGACTCTGTTTTCCTGATTGCGCGCTGCCTATCCTGATTTGACCGTCTGGTGGCACAGCCTCGCTGGTTGGACGTTTGGTCTGTATCCTACAGCACAGGTCACGACGTCCCCTGGCGTGCAGGATCCAATTCACCCGGTTGTTCTTCTGGGTCTCGCACGTGTGCAGCAAGCAGCCCTGGCCGTTTGCAGTCAGTTTCGCCAGCTCAGCTTCAGCCAGCTGCCCCCCCGGCGGTATGTTCTGATCCCGCGCTCGGTCGCTGTGTACTTAGGCTCGCGCGTAGCCCGCTCGACTTGCACCTCCCCTCGCGCAGTCAGCGCAGGCAGCTTAGGCAGCCCGCCCGCTTATTTTGCCTCGCCCGCGCGTGTAATTAGATCGGCCCGCGGCCCGGACTTTTCACCACGGTGCCTGCGCTTTCGCTTGCGCCCGCGAGGAAAAAAAGTAACCCCACCAGCCCATCCAGAAACGATGCCCAGAGGAATTGCCTCGATCAGGGAAGTGGGCAGCACACAGAGAAAGGGTCCCCCAGTTGAGGCCTATTGGAGCATCTTGGGTGCCTCGGAGAGCTTCTTGGGGCCGCTTGGGGGTCTCTTGGGAACAGCTTGGAGGCCTCTTGGGCGCCTGTCGGGGCCTCCTGGGCGCCTCTTGGGGCCCTCTTGAAGCGCTCTTGGAAGCCTTGGGAGCGCTCTTGGGGCCATCTTGGGGGACATCGATCAAACAAGAAGCGAGCATTAGCGCTGCCCCTCGGGAGCCCAAATAATCGCCTCTTGGGGCGCTTTTGGGGCGTTCTTGGAGCGCTTTTAGGCGCTATTGGGGCCGTCTTGGAGCTCATTGGAGCCTCTATTGGAGCCCTCTTGGGCCAACTTGGAGCCATTTTGAGGCCTCGGATGGCCATCGGAAGCGAAAAGGCGAGAAAGCCAAACACATAGAATTTCCTAAGGTGTTGGCCTCTTCGGGGCCTCCTGGGGGAGCTCTTTGGCCACTGGGAGCCGTCTTGGAGCGGTCTTGGGGCATCTTGGAGCATCGTGGGAGCCATTATGAGACATCTTGGGATATCTTGAGCCATCTTGGAGGTTACCTTGGGCTCTCCCAGGCGCTCGTGGAGTCATCTGAATCAGTGCCCCAGAGGCCAACGTGTGGCTCAAATATTAGTAAAAATCAACGGTTTGGCATTCTATCCGAGGCCTCTTGGAGCATCTTGGGTGCCTCTGGGGGATCTTTGGGGGCCTTTTGGGGGTCTCTTGGGAGCCTCTTGGGGGCATCCTGGGAGCCTTGGGGACCATCTTTGGGCCATCTTGGGTGACATCGATCACAGGAGGGGGGGTGCTAATTACAGTCCCCCCCCTCAGGAGGCCAAAATGGGGCCAAAACTTATGTAAAACCAATAAGTGTGGTTTCCTCCCCGAGGCCGTTTTGGACGCTCCGACACCTCGCGAAAACCCTTTGTCCAAGTCCAGCGGAGGGGGTAGGAGGAGGGGTCCAGACCCCCCCCCGCCCGCAAGCCGTCTCGCTCACCCCCACCCGCCCTCCCAACACATACGTAGCACCCGAGTCTGGCCCGAGCCTCAGCATATTCAGCAGTCGCCTTTGGATGGGCAGCTACTGGGGGCCAATCCGCCGCCGTCCGCCGCCGCCGCCGCTCCGCCGCCGCCGCCGCCGCCGCGCCGCCGCCGCCGCCGCCGCTGCCGCCGCCGCCGCCGCCGCCGCCGCCACCCCCCGCTGCCAAACCGCCGCCGCAGCCGCAGCCGCTGCCGCCACCGCCGCCGCCGCCGCCGCCGCCGCAGCCGCCGCCGCCGCCGCCGCCGCCGCAGCCGCCGCACTCGCAGCCGCCGCCAAGTGTACCCTGTATTGTTTTTTGACCGGGATGGTGGTGGGAGGGGGGGGGCCGCATCGGGTTGGTTGCGCATGTTCCAAATTTGGAGGCAGAGTGTGTGTTGTATTGTTTTTTACAAGGGATAGTGGGGGAGTGTTGTCATGGACTCGGGTTGGCCCCCAGTCGCCTGGGGGATGGGGTGTTTATTAATAGGGAACAGTGATAAACCCTTCCCCGACGGGGAAGAAGGAGGGGTGGAAGAGGAAACTGCCTAAACCACCGACGCCCAGAGGGCTGGTGGGACTCAGCGGAGGTAAAACGAGGCGGCCCCCGCCGGCGGAAGGGCGGCGGAGGGTGGCGGAAGCAAAAAAACGCCCCGCAAGAGACGAAAACGTTTTCGGGCTCGGGGATTCCGAAAATCGCCCACATTGTTCGGTGTTCTGGTTGTTCTCGTTTGTTGGCGTTTTCATCGCTGGCGGAGACGTCAGCGTGGGTCGCGGCCCGCTCGGGGAGGGGGGGGGGGGGGCAGATCACCAGGCTTTCGCCGCCGAGTCCCGCGAAGCGCGCTGCGCTGGCTGCTCTCGGTGCGGGGCGGCCCGCGAGGCGCACGCGCACGCCGCTGCCCCTCCTCGCCGAGGAGGGCCTTCCGCATGGAAAAATGATGGAGCCTCGCACGCTCCTCTTGGTGAACATTAAGTCCGACATGTCTCGATACAGGAGGGACATTCAAAAGCAGTCACACAAAAAAATATTGTGGCGATTTCCGGACTACCTTTGCTGATTGTTGTATTTGTTTTGATTGGTTCCAATGTTCTTCTTCCAAAATCTGCCTGTAAGAGGACATGCCCGACCTAAGGCTACCAGTAGCCACAAACAACGTGTGATGTTCCATCTCGTTGCGATCGGCGCGGGCACTCGCACCCCCCCCCTCCCCCCCCTCACACCAGTGGAGCAGATGTTGGCTGTTTTTGGCGCATGTTTCGAGCAGGTGGAATCCTCCCCATCGGACGCACTGTTGCAAACTAAGCAGAGGTCCAGAGCCAGACACCCCCCCTCCCCCCCTCATCCCGCCCAATGTCGAAACGCCGAATACTCCCCAATAACAGCCCACCTCTGTAGGGGTCCTAGCGGTTTCATATGGTTAGGTGAGGTATGGCACAGATTTCAGCGGCACGCCCGGGTGCCCCGTAGCCCTATAGCCCTATAGCTTAATAGCCTTATAGCCCTATAGCCCTACAGCCTTGTAGCCCTATAGCTCTATAGTCCCATAGCCCTATAGCCCGATAGCCTTATAGCCCTATCGCCCTATAGCCCTATAGCCCTATAGCCCTAATAGCCTTATAGCCTTAATAGCCCTATAGCTCGATAGCCCTACAGCCCTAAATCCTTGTAGCCCTATAGCCCTATAGCCCTATAGCCCCATAGCCCTATAGCCCTGTAGCCCCATGGCCTTATAGCCTTACCGCCCTATAGCCCATATAGCCCCACAGCCCTATAGACCGAACAAGATTATGATTGGGTTTTTCTCCGGTCTCATAAGAAAACGCTCTCTGCCGTTAGCCATTACAAAACGTGTGATGTTCCATCTCGGAGTGCCGAGTCGGGTGTCGAGGCCTCTGCAGTCGGGGTCGTGGCCTGTGCCTTCAGGCCCAAGCGGTGCTGCCGCCAGGTACACGGTGCTCTTCGTGGGCTTCGTGGTCTTCTCGGCGACTCGGGGAGGGTGCTGGAGCAGAGCCACAGCTACGAGCGACATGTTTTCCAGCGGTAGCCAGCTTGGGGCTTGGGGCGTGTTTTAGATCTCCGGTACGACATTTGTGCTAGCTGGAAGATGTGCCCCCAATTCCCATCGTAGTGCGCGTTGCTCCTTGCGCGTGCTTTGGAGCGACGAGCAGACGGGGGGGAGGAGGACCAGGCGAGGGAGGGACGTATGGGGCGATCGCGATAGACAGTCGAAATAGACAGTCAGAAGTGGTGCCAACGTTTGCTACCCTCCACGTACCGCCGTCTGCGTACCACCGCCTCCCATGCATGCTATCCGTAGGCGCTTGAAGACAAGGGAGGCGCGTAATTGGAGGCAGCAGTAATGGAATTGGAATTGAGAGGAACCGTCGTAGAAATGAGGTGGACGCGAGCTTGGCTGCACAGACGGCGCTGGATAGATTGAGGAAGCTCGCCGAGGCTGGCCAGTTCGGAGATTTGGTCGGGGTGAAACAGAAGTGCCACGGAGAGCCCTCGCACGGAGATCGACCTCGGTTTGGGCTCGCGCCGTGCGTGCGGTCGAGGGGAGTCCGAGTGCGCGAGAGATCCTTCCCTGGCTAGGAGCACGTACGTCAGACTGCTTCTCGCGGGCCCGGCGCGCGCCCCGCTAAGTTGTCCCGTGGTTGTTCCGTGCCCAGCGCGCACCTTCCCACGGCCATCCCGTGGTTGTCTGGTGATCATCCCGTGGTTGTCCCGTGTTCGGCGCGTACCACTTTGATGTTGTCCCGCGGTTGTCCTGGTTGCCTCGTGATTGTCCATTGCTAGGTAGAGAAGTGGTTGGTGAAAGATAGAGAGCTAGGTAGTCATATAGAGAGCGGGGCAGTAGTATGTGGCAATACCGCTAGGAATTAGAACACTCAGATGTGTGGAGGAATGTGTGTTCGATGAGCATCGACATACGTCAAGTTGCACGGTCAGTCTGACGGCTGCTTATATACTAAAGTCGATTGATGTTTGAAAACTCCTGATGCGCCAGGATGCGCAGCGCATGTTATACGACTCCAAGTTCGGTGCTGTGCTCATGCTCTGCTGTGCAACACATTGCATATGTGAAGGCGCTTGCAGTACGTTGCGCTGCATCTCATGCCATTGCATGCCATTCCTTTGCGCTGCGTTGCGATATGTATGCCTTCAGCACGACAAGACCCGCAGTTGAGCCCTCAGAGTGGGAGACACAGCGAGTCATCTGGGGAAATGAGCACACAAATTGAGCAAGCAGTGTGTTTCCAAGGTATGGGCTGAGATTGGGACTGCAATGGGGTTCTCTGGATGGCGTCTTTGGCACCAGAGGAGGCCTCCGTGGGGTCATCGTAGTGCCGTACTGGCGTCACTCCAGAGGTCCCGCTTTGGGCCGTCTGGGAGCGTCTTGGGCCCGCCAAAGGCTTTTCCTCTTGATTTGTCATCCGAACAGTGTTGCCTCTATTGTAGCGATCGGCCGCTGACATGTTCGCTCAAACTTTCTTCCCCAGAGGATGCCTGTGGTCCCTCCGTGGGCAGTCGGCGCGGTCACCCATCTCGCGCATGGGGTGTTTTTTGGCTGAGTCAGGCGCCGGCAGCTCCGCCGTGTCCGAGCTGTCCGGGCTGCCAATGCGTTTTCCCGTCGGTGCCGCCCTGCCCCGCGTGTCCTGGGGCGCCCGAGCAGTGCATCGCGCCGCCCGCCGGGACGCCGAGGGCTGGGCCCACCGCGGTAGCGGTCGCGGCGGCCTGGTTCACGACCGCCCTGGCCCTCGTGATTGGCTTCGCCTTCGAGGAGATCAGCCGTGGGGCAGATGGCTGCTGCAATCGCCACCGCCGTGTCCCATTTGCCCAGGGCACAGCGGGCGGCCTACCCGATGTACGCGGTGGCGGGCCCCCGCTGTGGCGCCAGCGCTGGCTGATGGGCCCAGTGGTGTCCTGTCCGAATGACGCCATACTCGTGTCGCTCTACCGCCTGGTCCGGTTGGAGGTGGTCGACTGGCGGTCGGCAGGTATCAGTGCAGTGCGATACGCCGACGGGCTTGCGCCCTGGCCCATCCGTGGCGGGCGCACCCTACCGCTTGGGTGCGGCGCCGGCGCTGGCCGACGTGGCCGCTTCGCTCCCCGACGCCGAGGCGCGGCGGTGCTACCAGGGGCGCCATTCTGGGGCCGCGTTGCCGGCTCATGTTTTCGAGCCATACCCGTGGGCGGCGCCGCCGGCAGCCGCCGTCCTTTTGGTGCCGGCGCGGCCCCCGCGCCGGCTGGCGCGCCCCCCCGTGGCGGCAGAAGGGCTCTGGTCGCGAATGCGGCGGCCGCCCCGCCCGCTGCGTTCGTGGCCGGGGGCGTGCTCGGGCGCAGGGCATTGATTGCTGGGGCCGCGGTTGGGGCGGCCGCGGCCGGGGCGGGAGGCCCAGGCGGCGCGGGCGAGGGAGGCCCCCCCGCCGGAGCGGCGTTGGTGGCGGCGACCAGGGCGTTTACCCGGCCGTTCGTGTTGGCTGGCGGCGCCGCTGGTGCTCTGGCTGGTCCCGCGAACAACTGGCGTGCAGCGCAGGCAAGGAGCGGCTACCACTGCGGCGACGTGGTCGCGCCGCCCGCCGGCTTCGCCAGGACGGGCTTCCCACACAGAGAGGTCGTCGCGCTGGCAGACGTGTCGGCGCTGTTCATCGAGTGGGTCACCATGTCCGAGGGAGGTGCTTTCAGTAACCAGGCGGTGCCACCCGACTGCCGTTCGCTGCCAGTGCGACCTGGACCAGGCGGGCAAGCCCTCCAGGAGCCTGGCCGGAATCGCGGAGAGCTGTCGAGAAGAAGTCCTAGCGGATTTCCCGAAGCCGAAGACGACCACGCGGTGCCTGAAGAGCCTCGCCAGCGAGGGTCGGTCTTTAGAGAGCCATTTCGAGCATTTCAAGAAGATGCGCGGGTTGCAGGAAACCGAGTGGGGCATGGAAGAGCACGCGCAGGCGTCACCTGAAGGCGTTGCTGCAGCACGACCAGGTTGACGGCGCAAACATTCAGTCCGCGGAGTTGATGTTCCATCGCCGCCAGACCATCGCGCACTGCCACCGCGATCAGATCCGCGAGCGCGCACGGGCGCCTCAGGAGGGCGCCTCACGGCAGACGAGCAGGCGGCCTTCGGCGCGACCGCCCAGGCCGAGGCCACATTCACGGCGTCGCCGCAGCTGCCAGGGAGCGCGATGGCAGAGCTCGAGCGGGGCGCCGCCCTCGCAGAGAGCCTGCCGAAGGCGCGCGAGGCCCGAGAGGTGTTAGAATAGAAGAAGGAGCGATGATCGATTGCCTCCCTCAGGTGTCTCTCAGGCTTGGATGGAGCAAGCGTTGCCGAGGGTGCTCGGGGCGCCTCAGCGCCGCCTAGGATTTTTGATAGGAGCGTGGACAAGGATCTCGCGGTCTTGCACGCGGCGCCCCTGCGCGCGGGCTCTCGCGCGCGGGCTTCGCCAGGGCAGCCTGCGCGCGGGCTCTCGCGAGGCTGTCCGGAGAGAGCTGGCCGGCAGAGGGTCGGCGATCGGCAGCGACGCAATGCCGGCTCTCTTCGGCGCGCGGAGGGGCGCGCCACGCCGCGCGGCAAAGGCGCGCGCGATGCCGATCCGCGGCGCCGCGGGCAGCACTGGAGTAGTTCCGCGCGCCGCCCCAGCGCCCACCTGAGCCGCGAGCGGCAACGCGCGCTCTCACGCCGAAGCCTCTGTCTCCCAGGATTTCTCTCGCAGACGGCATCCCATCCAGGCGCCGCGCCCCGGACGCCCCAGCGACGACGGCGGGGGCCCCATCGGCTAAGAAGCCGCCCGCGCCCGCCCCCCGCGACGGCGCCCGCCCCGACCCCTCTCGCCAGGCCCTGGGGACCTGGCGGGGAGAGCTAAGTCGCTTGCTTTGTCGAGTCGCAAATGTTGTTTATCGACGTTGCTCGAGGAAATTAACGAAACTCGGGGCAGGCCCGGCCCCGCGGCGACCCTAGCCCCCACCCCCCTCCACATAGAAACTCGCCTGGAGGATGCTCGAAGCTGGCGTCGTCGACATGCTTCAGTGGTCGACTGTTTCATTGCAAAGAGAGAGCGGCGGCCAGAGGCCGGCCGTCGACTGCCGTCGGCCAAGTCAGCACCTTCGCCCCCGTGCGCCCGTCGGTCTTGTCTCGGGGGGCGCTCTCGCTCAGGCCTGCAGCTATGACTCCCAAGACTCGCCGATCTACATTGACCAAGTCGACATCAAATATGATATCAAATACGCATTCGACCACACGGAGCCCCCAGTCGAGCTTCGCACATTTTTCGCTAAGCGCAAGGCGCGCGCCCCAGGAGTCGGCGCCCCCCTGGTCGGAGGGGCCCGGGCGTCGCCCGATTCTTGGGTCGCCTCCTCGCGCGCACGCCCCCCCGACGGGCCGGTCTCGGGCCCTCTGGCGGCGCCGGGCGACCCGCGAGCACGCTGCCGAGGCAGGAGGGGGGCCCTGCCGAGGTCGGGCTCGCCGTCGGACGCCCCCTTCTTCCTCCCCCCCCCCCGCACGCAGCGCTTGGATGATCACGTCGTCTGCCCACCGAGCGAGCAGGCGGCGCGCGGGCGACTGGCCGGCGCAACGGCTCGAGTCTCGCGGCCATCCGCCGCGCAAAGAGGAGGCGCGCTGCGGGCGGGGAGCGGTCGCGGAGCGGGAGATCGCGGCCTTCGGCGCGTCTCCCGCCCGACCCCCGAGCGAGTCTGGAAGGCGCGGCTCGCCGCCCGGGCGCCCCCGTCGCACGGCGCACGCGCGGGGGGGATTCGGAGCGCCTCCTGGGCAATCTCTGTTCCACCGGCCCCCGTCGGCGCCAGAGTCTCAGCGTTCTAGCATTTTGCCATTGGATTTGCGAGGCGGAGGGCGCGGCCCCTCTGGACCTCTGCGCGCAGGGGGCCGGACATCTGGGACCAGGTCCCGCCGCTCGCGTTGGTCAAGACCCGGGCCGTCGCCAGCCCAGACTTCGTCGCGGCGGGCGCTCTGCCGCAGGGCCTCGGGGCCGTTCGCGGGGCAGTTGGCGGAGCTGGCGGGAGCCCCAGTCGCCGCCGGGAGCTGCGCGGCACCGCGGGAGGGCGTTCGCCGCGGCGGCCGAGCAGCTGCACCTGGACGAGAAGGGCCCAGACAAGCAGATCCTCGCGGAGCTCACGTAGCCCCCGCAGTGCGACCAGGAGGGCCACGACAGCAGCTTCGACCTCCGACGCTCAAGGAAGCCCTTGGAGCTCCTCATGCAAAGCGCCCAGGAAGGGCTGCAGGAGGTCGAGATGGAAGCGGAACTAAGGGGCCACCATCCTTGAGGCCGAAGCCTAGTTGCACGGTGTTCGATACCAGTTGCGCTCCGTGGTCAACCTGGGATCGAGGCTCCTTGTCAACGGCGACTCATTATCTGCTGCCAGGGCAGCCAGTGGCCCGCCGCCTCGGGGCGCTGCTGCTGGCGACGGGGTGCCTCCTGCGGGCCCGCTGGGCAGCGTCGGAGCAGAACGCGGCCGACGGTCGTCGCGGGGCCGCGGGGCCCCGAGCGACCCGAGCGCAGGCGCGCCGGCGCGCGGCGGGTCCGACAGGCCCACGGCCGCGGCCTTGGACCCCCGCCCGGCCTTGCCCCAGCCGCTGGGGCACCCCGCGTGGAGGCGGGGGCGGCGCGGCGGGAGCGGCCGGTCCAGCTGGCGGCGGCCCGCCCGACCGCGACGAGCATGGGTCTTCTCCGACGGGCTTCAGCATCGGCGACAACGCAGGCCCAGCACGCCCTCAACCTGGCCGCCCTCGACCGGTTCTGCCAGCCAGACCAAGGGGGGCCCGCGGCCGGATTCGGAGGAGGAGTGGGACGAGCTGACTTCGAGCTGGATGGAGATGGTGTTCGTGGGGGGCGGCTCCCTCGGCGCCAGCGAGAAGCTCTTGGCGTCGGCCTAGTGGGCCGAGCCGCCCTGGGGCGATTGGGGGGCGGGCACATGCCCGCAGCCGCCAGTGCCTCTGGGGCTGGCGCCGAGCTGCCCCGTCGCGCGGCCGCCGCCCGCTGCCCTGCGACGCGGCGGCCCTGATGGCGCGCTGGACGATCTCTCGCGGCCAGCGGGCGCAGGCCCTGGCCGCGCTGATGACGATGGAGCTGCGTCTACGGCCGGGGAGCCCTCCCGCCCCGAGGCCACGGCCACGGCCAAGGCCACGGCCGAGACCTGGTGGCGGGCTACCTCACAGGAGCTTGCGAGCAGGTGCCCACGTCAATCCCGTTGCGCCCCTTCGAGATGCGGACCAGGCGATCGCGGTGGACCTGCCACTGCAAGAAGCCCTCGCGGAGGCGCTGGCGCAGCTGTGCCGGGAGCAGGGCGACCGCGTGCTGCTCGATTTCTCTCTCGCCACTCTGCGCCAGGCTCTGGGCGGGGCCGCCGCGGCGCGGCGCCCGGGGCCGCCGGGCCATTTCGGCGCCCACCGTTTCCGGCGCGCGGGCGCAAGCGTGGACTTCGCGACGGGGCCAGGCGCCTGGGGGAGATCCAGCGCCGAGGCGCCGGCGGTCAGCGCGCAGCCCGCGTCGGCGCTAGCACCGCGGGCGCCCGACTCGAGCTGCCACGCCGGCTACCGCCAGACGCGCGACGGGCGGCGGCCACCGCCGCGCAGGAGCTACCCGACGTACTCCGCGGGAGGCGTTTGCCGTCGCTGGGCCGCTGAAGACGCCGCAGGTCGGGCCCCCTCAAGCTGTTCGCTGGGTCAGAGCACTTGTCGGACGCCGTCGCCAAGAGGAACGCGCCCACGCTCCGAGCCTGCTGGGGCGCCGGGATTTCTCTTCGCAAATATTCGAGCACTGCCGCTTCGAGACTACCTGGAGAAAAAGCACCAGGGCTGTCGCCGACCTGATGGTTCTGACGCCCTTCTCGGCCCATCGGCGCGCTGGGCGGGCTGCAAGCATCGCTGTTCATCGGGCAAGAAAGCACAGGGGGCGTTCGGGACAAAGTTGGCCGAAGCCTACCTCCGTCAGTAGCGCGGCATCCTGCCCCAGGCCGTCGAGAAGGAAACAGCTCGTTCCCATGCCGCCCACTGTCAGGCATTGATGGACAGAGCTGCTGGCCTTGGTAAGTGAGTCTGAAGGCGTCTTCGTCTGGTGGACGCGGCGGGCGGAACCGGAGTAGCTCCGCGCGCCTTTTGGCGCCCGCCGCCGACATGGACGCGCGGTCCGCGCCGCCCAGCAGGCCGGTGCCCACACCGCGCGCGGCGGCGGCGGTGCGGCGGCGCCAGAGGAGCTCTGCAGTTTGCGGCGTGCTGCGAGTGTTTTCAAAAAGTTTTCGTTTCCGTGGCCGCTGCGAAGCGCCATCCTCCGGCGGAAGCCGCCTGCGGTCGCGTCGCCCTGAATCCAGCCACCTGGCCTCAGTGGAACAAGAAACAGAATTTATTTTTCGAACAAAGTTGCTTCTATTGTAACGATCGGCCGCTGACATGTTCGCCCAAGCTCCCTCCCCCCCCCTTCGCTATCCCTCTCTGTCGCGTGTGCCTTCGAGATGTGTTCGTTCCCGTGGCCGCTGCGAGGGTCCTTCAACCAGCGGAAGCCGCCTGCGGTCGCCAGCCACCCGGCCTCAGTGGAAGGTGAGAGCATGAGCTGTTTCAAGACTATATTCATCCGTCTCGAGTCTCCTCCGAATCCCTGTTAGGGCGTCTTGGGGCCATCCTGGGATGCCTCGTGGCCCTGTTGGGGCCTTCTTCTCCTCGGGTGTCGCTAGGACCGCTCTGGGTCGATCTTGGGGGCGTGTTGGGCCGTCATGGATGCCCTGACGACGTGAAGGGCCAGCGTTGCGAAATCACACATCGACCTTCTTGGGACATGCACGGTCTTGTCTCTTGGAGGTCTCTTCGAGGTCCTCCCGGGCCCTCTGGGATCGTTTTGGGGGCCCCGTTGGACCCGTCTCTCGGCCCTCCTGGGGCTGCCGCGGGCCGTCCTTCGGCCGGTCTCAAGGTCCTCCTGGGTCGTCCCTGCGCCCTCTCGGCTTCGCCGTGGCCTCTCCCG